GCGCGCGCGCGAACAGCCGGCGGCACCCCCCGCCCCCCAGCTCGAACTCGCCGGGGCGCGGACGACGCGGCCCGCGCGCGCGACGCAGAGCAGACCGCTAGAGGCGAGACGGGCGGCAGAGGACGAGAGACTATGGCAACGCGGCGCCTGGCCCACCTGCTGGCCACCCCCGCGCCAGCCCGCCGAAAAAGGCTGGCCTTGAGGACGACGCGCAAGCTGGCAGGGCGGAGCACGCCGCCCACACAAGCGGGATGCGCTGCGCGGTCGGCCACAGCGGCGCCCTCGGCGCATAGGTAGCGGATGAACCAATCCGAGGCCTCGCGGGCAGAGACGGGAGACGACCTCCTCAAAGCCAACGACCCCGGCACCGCCCCAGGGCACACCACCAACGCGCGCAGAGCAGACCCTTGCAGCGCCTTCCACCATGGGCACACGGGCACGGCAAAGGGGAGCGATGCCCGCCGAGAACAAGCAATGGCCACGCGCCACTCGTCTGCATGAGCGCCCAGGCGCGGAGGTCCAGAGCGGGCAGGTCCAGCAACGGCCAAGAGGGGGCGGGGTAGGGGGAGACAAAGGAGACGCCAAGCGGCGCAAACAGGGTTGCAGCAGCCTCCTGGAAGGTGGTGCGGTCATACCCATACATCGCCAGCCGCAGGTCTTGCAACTCGCACAATGGCAGGAAAGCGCGCCTCGCCTCAGGACGGCGCCTCGCCGCGCCCAGCGTGGCCCCCGCGAAGGCAAGACGCACGGTGATGGGTAGCGGGGGGAAGGGGGCACGCGAGCCAGCTTCCCTGCGGCCTTGAGCCAGAGCCTCACCACAAGGGCCACAGCTGCTGCGCCCGCCCAGCATGGACGCCGGGTGGCCCGCTGGGAGCAAATCGAACAGGGCGCGGGCCATGAGCGCCCGCGCCGCGACCCTCGTGCCCAGGCGCAGAGGCCAGCCGCACTGCGCCACCAAGATACTATGGCGCAGGGGCGGACCCCGGCGGCAGCCGAGCAGCTTCCTTGCCCAGATTCCCTGAAGCTCTTCCTCGCCCAAACTCCCAGAAGTTTGTTCAAAGCCGCCTCGGCCCCATGAGCCCCTGCCAAAAGCAGGCGCGGGCACAGGGTCACTGACTCTACCCGCAGGCGGAGGTGGGCCGTGGCGACCGAAAGCGAAAACCCCAAACCACGTCCGATGCGAAGAATTGATCAAACAGACTGTGGCCGCGGGCAACACACGTGCGAAATGAAGGCTGAAAAGCGAGGCCCGCGACTACCTGGGCACGACCACCGCACAAAGGACACCGACCGGGGCCTGGACACCCCGCAGCAGCAACACGCACAACTTCCCAGTGCCGCAATTGATGCGCGCCTTGGCCTGGCGGGCGCACCGAGCGCAGGCCCAGGACGCCGCGGACCGCGCCCTGCGAAGAGCATGGGACTGTGAGGTCATTGACGAACTGAAAGAGCGGCCAAGCACCTTGCCCTAAGTCCTCCATTGTTGCTGCAACCAGATCCACCAACGGTGGCTGCTCCCGGAGGGCCACACTCACGCGCGGCACCCGCTCACTCCGCCCCCACTATACGCGACACCTCCCGCGCGAGGTCCGCCACCAGAAGACCCCCCCGCGGGGGGAGGTGGACAGCCGTGAGCGGAGACCTCGTGGAAAGCCAGGCGGGCCAATGGAAGACAGCGGCGGCGCAGCCCTGGGGCAGGACTGTCGCAACCTCGCCCGCAAGCCAGCGCAACTGGGCGCAAAAACGAGGGACCGAAAAGTTTCGGCCCTGAGCAGTGCAACAGCCGAGGGCGAAGACAGGGCCCAATAACACATGGAGACACACGCGCCGGTGGCCCCGCGCGAGAATATTTTCCAGCAGGAGCCAGTCGGGCCCGCTGAGGCCAGCATGAAGCGCATCCAAGAGCATGGCGCTGAAGGACGCCACGTCAAAGGCCCACGTCTCGTCCGACAGGGCAGACCACGTTGGTAGACCCTGCGCACCACTAACCTGGGCATGCACCACGAGGGCCAAAACAAATTAGAGGGTGTCGCCGACCGCCCCCTGCTGGGAGGAGCCTGCGTACGCCTCCAGCGCAGCTGCGTTGAGGAGACGCCAGGAAGGCGTGCTGGACCGACGCCATCTCACAAGCATGTGATACTAGCCAGAAGCAGGAGGTGTTGCGAACAACGTGAAGGTCCGATTTGTGGATCCGCACTTACTGGCGCAAGGACCAAAGTCGGGCGATTACACACGCCCTACTCAGGTCAACGAGCGTCCGAATGAAGCGGACGCCTGCACGTCGACAAACACAGCCGCGCTCGCGCCGCAAACCGGTTTCTTGCGCGGTCTCAACACTGCCACGGCCCCGTCGACTTCGTCCGGCGTGGAGGCACCCGGCGAAACCAACATCGGATCAGCTGGTAAGCGGGACCCGACCTGGCGAACCTCTACTAAAGACCTGCTTAGGGTGTCGCTTCATCCGCGCCCTCGTGCAAAATCGTTCTGCGCTCGGCCCACT